GAGTCAAAGGATTGCGCCAAACAAAAGAAACAAGCATAACAAAACCAGGCCTATCTCTACATCTATCCTTTGAAACCAAAACTCAAACAAAAACCCTCACTAACTAAACTACAAAGACTTTGACAAGCCTGCCTGGCACGTAACAAGAACAAAGGGTCAAAGGTCAGTCCCCGTCCAGGTGAGAATGGCTGCTTCTCAGGTCGATTAAATGAAATCCTTGCTTCCCTCACTTGCGTTGTTTCCCTGTGACTAGTCCCTCCCACCAGGGAAGCATGGAGGGACGCAAGGAAACCACGAGAAGCAGGGAAATGAGTTTTAAGAGCAATGGGACGTCCTTTCCTCCAGAGCGTCACGTGAAGCGACGTCCGTTTGTGATGACGCTGCACAGCTGATCGTCTGACAGCAGCTCTGTCCCCGTTATTTCCACACACCCCCCGCCTCTGTTAGTACACATTTACTGACACAAACATTTGTATCATCTGTTGTAGACCCAAATAAATAAAATAAAATAAGAACTAATTCTCAAAAAAGATAAACGCCATTCTTAAAATTTATAAACGAACAATAGTTTGATTAATATTGATTAGAGTGCACAAAAGAAATAAAATAATTGAGAGAAGAAAAAGAGATATGTTATCTATCAAAACCCAGTTAGATTAACATTCATTGGATTGCACACTTTGTGTATTTGTGTGGATATGTAGCCAACCCGGTATCACGGTGAGACGTGAACATGTGACGCTTTACCATTGCTGGGAGACGTGAAGATGTCACGGTTTCGTCTTTTCAAAACGTGAAAAGCGTGACAGCTACACGGTATTGTTAACCAGTGGAGAAATAATCGGAAATACCAAGCAAATGCTACTCCGACGTAATGATTTATTTTTTAATAGTCACACTCGATTACAGCGATTTTCTTGTTGCCCCAGCTGGTCGACACCTCTTTTAGCAGAAACAAAGGCTACATTAATGTATTAAATCGATGTTAATCCATGCGTGTGGATGTGGAATTAACGGACGTGACGTTGTGCGATTGAGTTGCCAAGCAACAGCTTCGGTTCATGTTAATTTACAAACTATTCAACTACAACCGTAGTTATATTTAAAAACATGTTAGAAGGCCTCACGAAATACTTTAATGCACATTAAAATGTAAATGTGAAGGAATATGTGTATAACAAAATACATCGGTCATTAAACGAAACCGGAAACAGACGTAGGCAAGATCCTCAGCTCGATGATTGGATGGTTATCCGTAATGCATGCTGGGATTTGGTGTTTATGTGATGTGAAATCTGAAAACGTTTTTTAAAAATACAATAATACTTTATTCCGAGTGTGCTTGCTTTACTCTTTGAAAGTCATCACATAACGGCATTGTAATACACGGTTCGGCTGCATTAAATATTACATATCTGCCGTAGTTCTCTATTTATAGAGCCCTGCTGAGAAGACTTCTGGACAAACAGGAGAACTGCCGCCAAAACTGAATACGTGACGTTGATCATAAATATATAAGCAATTATACAACATCTTACATTTCTTTTCACACAATGCGTCTCCTTGCAGTATCAACACTAATTCGGCTGACTTTTATATTTGATCCAATTGGTAGATAGGCTGTATTTAAACCATAACCGTGCAGAGCTGATAGAAAGGGACACCTGGTGGTCAAAGCACGTTATTGAATTGTATTATTTTATTATTAGATATTAATAGGATCTCTATAAAGTATATTCATTACTCGTTATTCTCTACTAATAGTTCATTAACGACTGTATATAATGACTAGTTTGAACATCCATTTCAAGATTTTATAAGCTAAGGTTTATTGACATATCATATTATACACAACTACTGTGTAGTTATGCAATGAATGAAAAACTTGGGTCGCAGGTTCCTCAACAGTGCATTACAAGACATCTATCAATATGTGTTTATACTCCACCATTAAACTGTCATTCTGCACATTTCTTATACTATCTACATACATCTTATAAGAGTATAATACATATGTATAATATCAGTTTAATAATAAACAAATAAGTGCTTAAACATAGTTAACATTGCAGGAAAGCAATATATTAGACGTTAAGTACTTTGTCAGGCTTAATATTTATCTGTAGATACAAATGTCACTGTGTGTGCTGTGTGCTCTGCATGTGTGACCATTAAAGAATCAGAATACCTTTATTAGTTCCACAGAGGGGAAGTGTGCAGCGTTACAGCAGGAAAGAGCCACAGACAGCTTAGTGTTGCATATCTTACATGCGTTAAAAAAGTACTAAGTTAGAATAAAATAAACAATATGCTAAAAAAGTACTAAGTTATAATATATTAAACAATATGCTAAAAAAAAGATAAAAAGTTACATAATTTTCAAAAATACAGATCAAAAACAAAACGGCATATATATTGATTTAGTGGCCAGGTATAAATTACACAGTTATTAATGGCATATATATATATTGCACATATAGCACATATTGCACAAAGTTGGTTTGTATTTAGCAGCAAGGGGTGTTATAGTCTGTGTTGTGGTGTGTGTAGGAGGGTCTACTAGGGGCAGTGCTGGTTGTAAAGTCTGACCGCTGCAGGAAGGAAGGACCTGCGGTTTCAAGAGGGTTTCATCCCTCCATATTCTTCTTAAAGCTTTTTTCTTATTCAAAATAAGACCTTAACCTAAAGTACTCTTTAATGTTTAAATTAAGCCTTATTAGTTTGTCTGTTTTGCACATCCTCCTATTAATATCTAATAATAAAATAATACAATTCAATAACGTGCTTTGACCACCAGGTGTCCCTTTCTATCAGCTCTGAACGGTTATGGTGTAAATACAGCCTATCTACCAATTGGATCAAATATAAAAGTCAGCCGAATTAGTGTTGATACTGCAAGGAGACGTATTGTGTGAAAAATAAATGTAAGATGCTGTTTAATTGCTTATATATTTATGATCCACGTCACGTTTTCAGTGCCTCATGTTTGTCTAGAAGTCTTCTCAGCAGGGCTCTATAAATAGAGAACTACGGCAGATATGTAATATGTAATGCAGCCGAACCGTGTATTACAATGCCGTTATGTGATGACTTTCAAAGAGTAAAGCAAGCACACTCGGCATAAAGTATTATTGTATTTTTAAAAAACGTTTTCAGATTTCACATCACATAAACACCAAATCCCAGCATGCATTGCGGATAACCATCCAATCATCGAGCTGAGGATCTTGCCTACGTCTATTTCCGGTTTCGTTTAATGACCGATGTATTTTGTTATACACACATTCCTTCACATTTACATTTTAATGTGCATTAAAGTATTTCGTGAGGCCTTCTAACATGTTTTTAAATATAACTACGGTTGTAGTTGAATAGTTTGTAAATTAACATGAACCGAAGTTGTTGCTTGGCAACTCAATCGCACAACGTCACGTCCGTTAATTCCACATCCACACGCATGGATTAACATCGATTTAATACATTAATGTAGCCTTTGTTTATGCTAAAAGAGGTGTCGACCAGCTGGGGCAACAAGAAAATCGCTGTAATCGATTGTGACTATTAAAAAATAAATCATTACGTCGGAGTAGCATTTGCTTGGTATTTCCGGTTATTTCTCCACTGGTTAACATGGGTTAACAATACCGTGTAGCTGTCACGCTTTTCACGTTTTGAAAAGACGAAACCGTGACATCTTCACGTCTCCCAGCAATGGTAAAGCGTCACATGTTCACGTCTCACCGTGATACCGGGTTGTATGTAGCATATTAACATTTTAATAGCACTTAATGACTGACTGAATGGAAATGACAATAAATGAAAATGTAAAACGAAAAAAGCGATCATGAAAATATTTCCAAAAAATGAATTAAATGATTTTTGACCACTTTGTTGTTCAGATATATCACATATTTGTAACTAAATGATACATGAATTGAAACAAAACACGGTATGAACTGAGGAGTGACTCCCGTGAGGTTCATGTCTTTTCTTCACTCTGCTCTCATGTCAAGAAGCATCAGATCAGTGCATGCACTGCCTCGTCCAATCAGTGAGCGATACACAGTAAGGGGGCGGGGTGAGTATCTGAGGATTTCATCGGAGGATGGTCTGGTGGTTCCTCGGTTATCGCTCCTCCATGATCGCTCCTCGCTCCTCGATCCTCGGTCCTCCGGCAGAAATAAGAGCCATGGGACGGTACTCAAGATGGCGCAGGCAAATCAACTTCCGGTGAGACCGAGGACCGAGGAGCGAGGAAATGAAAATTGTCGACCTGAGAAGCAGCCCATGTCACAGCAGCTGCTGGCCTTCAAATGTAAGACAGTTTTGTGGTTGGACTGGACCAGATGGCCCAAGACCTAAAATGCTCAAAATATTTGTACATAGCCAGATAAGGAGAAATGATCCTTTGGCTTCCACCTTTTTTTCTTCCAAGATTGTCTCGTATTAATTCTGTCTATATGCATCTATTTTACAATGGCAAAATGTCTTGGTGTTGGGAAAACCCATACTCAGACTATGAGCTTTAGTTAGTAAAATGTTCTTTAACTATCAGGACCTCCGGACAGGAGCCCCCCAGTGACTGAGTGTGTTCATACACACACTCCACACTCCATAACGTTTGTCCTTCATTCTATCAATCTCACACCAGTTGATGAAATACATTGATGTCCATTTTCAAAAGAAGCATTCTTAATTCTTCATTCTTGTTTTTTAAGATTTATGTTGTACAGAATCTGACAACACTGCCTGAAGCCCAGCCGGAGTATTTCCAGTTTGAGAGAATGTGATCCACTGCCCCAGACATGTTGTTTGGTATTCTGCTAACAGTTTACTTACATTTTTTATTGGGGAAAAAAACCATTTGTTATTGTCACAAAGATTGAAATGCAAGTGGAGCCAGTGATCTGGAGCTCTTCCATCTTTCATACTGTCTCCTGCTAACATAAACCCCTGAGTATCTACAGCCATCTGAATTCAGTCAAACACAAGTCAGCATCTTTAATGTAAGTATTGAAATAGTTAATTTTATTTTATATTTTTTATTTCATCTTTTACATAAAACAAAGAATATCAGTAATATACAATTCTCAATTGGTACTGTAAGGTGACTGTCACACAAAAACATCACTGTTATTATTGGGGAGAATACCTGTCATAGTGAGTAACAATATGTGCAATAAATGGTAAATTACACTCATTGGTGCTGAATACAAATACTGAGCTTGAGAGTAAATGTTAGAAAAATACAATACTCTTGTGAGGGTGAGGCTCTTTATTATGTGAGCCTTTTTAGAAACACAGACACCATGCTCCATCTACCCGTATCAGTACAGCCAATCCCTGATCCATAAACGCCTCGTCTCACCTGTGTACGCTACATATTTCATTTAACTCAACAAAAATCACCTTCAACATTGACATGTAGCAAGTGAGTAAAGGTTTAAGAGGTAAATAGAGTAAGATGACATGACTAATGATATTGTGCAACCTTACAGTGCTCCATAGTTCTACATCAAGTGTAAACTGTCTCCAGTGTTTCAAAACATTATGGCTATAGTCACCATGACGAGTCTGATATGTAGATTCAGTTGCATTTATTATTCTGTATATGTGATTAGCTCAGAGCAGATTTTGGCAATATGCATTTTGGCAAACATTTATGCATGAAAATGCAAGGAGCGTGTGAAGGTGTGAGGGGAAACATCGCAAAGCAGCTAAAACTGTCGAATATGTCGGTATGCATTCAAAACACCAATAACATTACAGTAAAAGACACGGCATACATAATAGAGATAAACTGGTGAGATATTATATGGTTAAATGTACAGACAAAAACAAACAAGAGGAAAATATTGATATCTTTAAAGCAGTGAAATGTGGTGTGTCCACTGGCTGCAGTACAATGACTGAACATGTTAAAGTTGAGGTTTACTTAATAAATCCACAGCATCTATCAGAGACAGTAAATAGACTTTCCCTGAGCTAGCACAACAATGGGCCTACCGGGTGCTTTCTAACTAAGGTAACATGCACAACTCACTGTCCTGATGTCATAACTGTGGAAACGTGTACAAAATACAGAACGCAGTTTACATTTGAAGAGTTTCATTACAAGATGTGATGTGCACTCTTTTCAGAGTGTGAAACCTGTATAACGTCATTTGAGACTCGATAGTCAGACCACGAAGCCCTGAGAGGAAAACGAATCCTGCTGATCATATTTCTAAGACTGATCTATAATTTTGTTCCTCCTTTGTTTACGTGAACTATTTTGCCAGTATAATCTATCTAAGTTGGAAATCTTTTATTTTCGATTGTTATTGGGATACATTAATAACCATAATTTATTAATATCTCAACAAGAAGCAATAACTTACTTTCACATGCCCACATTTTTTCCCCCAAATGTTTTCAAAGATGAAATAAAGGTAATTTCGAAAAACTCCACGCAAAACCCTTTCCCCACACCTCTTCGGAGAATACAATCCAGGCATAAAGAAAGATTGTCTTCACAAACCCTTGTATTGCCAAATGTTCTTCAGTCATAAGCACAGAAGCGACAACCAATTAGATAAAACTTATAAAATGGATTAACAGAATTATTTTTTCCTCTCTTTCCTCTCAGGGCCTCCGTATCAGACTCAGTGTAGAAGACCTTTGCTTTTGTTATGAGAGATTTCAATGTGGGGAAAAAAAGCAGTGGACACCAAGTTAAACCTCTTGTGATGAAACTCTCTCTATAAGATGGATATCTGTGGTTAGAATAAGTCCAGAGGGTGGTTGCATGCAAGTTGATATTAACATTGTGACAATAAAAAAAGTTTCCAACCAGATAGTGCACACTTTAAAGATTCACATTGCTAAGTCAGGTTAAGAGTTCATGAATGGCAATCAGTAGTTAGTGCTGTACATATAGGGTCTTCAGGATGGAAACCATAGTTTGTTGAGTTTATCGGGTTCCATGAAAAAAAGACGAGTGAAATATGTGTGAGTTTTTAGTAGCTTTAGGTATTTATAAGATGTGAAGCAGGATTAGATCTTCACATTGACTGTGATTGGCTGGAGAATGAATATGATGACTAATCTTTCTTGAGCAGGATTTTGGTGCAGGTCTTTCATTTCCATTATTATTCTACAAAGTGAGCAGAGCTGGTGCCAACATGGAGGTCTGGAGGTGAATTTCTTGCACTTGTGAACACTTTTCAATTTTAAGCCTGAATTTACCAATTATTTGAGTAAACAAATGTGAAATCAAATTAAGCTTCATATCATCATATCCTAGCTCATTGTTTTGGCTGTACAGATGCAAAGTAAGATAAAGCCATCCAAATGTGTTCAAAACAGCTAACAGGATAAAGACTCTATTGGATGTGTACATTTGCTAAAACTAGTTGAAATAGGATTTTCTTGTCTGCTGGATACATAAGTGGGTCATTATTTGCTAAAATGTTAGCTGTGAAGCTGCAGCAATGTTTAAGCTTAGTATTTGCTCTGTCTTCTTTGGGCCAAACTTGATGAAAACACGGCGCTGCCAGATGTTGAACTCCTTCCTCACTGGAGCAACTAATCAGGTTCACAAAATGGTAAAATGATCATTGTGTTACTTTTGGCAGTTAAGTGTGTGCTGTATTGAAAGCATGTAAGTCGGTCAAATGATTGTACACATATGGTAACTATTGTACAATTGTTATTATAGGTACAGTTTTCACCACCACACTAGAGAAGCAGATATAACAGTTTGCAGTAATGTGTGTGTTGTCTAAGTTTAGTGGTTAAGTTTGTCCGGTCCTTCAGCATTGTGGCAGAAACCACCAACAATTCAACCCAGTCTCACGGCATTTTGTGATATAGTCACAACATTTAAACTATTGATTCGTGTTCACCAACAACATACAGATTTCAGTATTCTGAGGCTCTGAGCCCTATTTCTTTTCTTCACGAACTGCAAAAAAAGTCCGACATTATACGATTTAAAAATAAAAACAATAATCGTGGCTTGATATTGAGTAAGAACATGTTTTTATGAACCACACAGCTTCCGGTCTTCCAAGACCCGACCGGGTTGGTGAACACGAATCAATAGATGAAATGTCGTGACTATATCACGAAATGCCGCGAGACTGGGTTGAACAGTTAGCAGAGGAAGCTATGCTAGCTAACAACTTATGTTGTTTGCATTGTAAACATGCTAATGGTGTCAAACATTAGCTTAAACGGGGTCTACATGATGATTATAGTGAGCTATGAAAAGGCTACAATAGCTAAACTCATATTAACAATAAAAAAGAAGCCTGGCATTTTGATGTTTTTGCAAAATGTTACTTCTTAGAGTTAAAAATAGAGAATAAAATGTCAGGTAAAATAACCACGCCTGTTTAACTCCAGTCCTGTGACTCAGCAGAGCTGTACATTATGAAACTCTATCAGCAGCTCACAGCTGATGTCAATGAGCTGGAAACCTCCAAAACACCTGAAATGGTACTCAGTATCTCAGCCCCACAATGAGCACAGGTGGAAGCCCTCGATGCCAAGCTCACTGGTTGTCCAGCTCTGAGTGTTTCATCCTGATACAGAGACACACTGTCCAAACTTTGGGATTCAGGGATCCTCCATATGTGTTAGAGTGAGAAATCCGATTGATTCGTTGCTTCAGGTAGACTCAGTCAGCTTTGTGAACTCTGAAATGGAAAATGTAGAGCAGAGTGAGATCCACCAGCAAGTTACCATGCCAACAACATCTAAAATAAACGTCTTTCATGCAAATTATAAAAATGATTAACATGCAACATTATTGTGTTTATTTCTACAGAAATGGCTTAATCGCATATTGCAATACAATTCCTCAGTTTATATCCCAAGAACCTGCACATAGACAACCAATAGGCGCGTTCACACCGCAATACTTTCCCACTTTAGTTCATCAGAATGCTTTAACTAAGTACATGAACTAATGTATGAACAGATCGCGTTCACACCGGAATGAGTCCCTGGGGGAGGATCATAGACTGTATATAAAGGAGGATTAGGCAAATGAAGCCGCTGACGTCACTTCTTCTTCTTCTGCTTTGGGTTTACGAGCAGGCCGCAAACAACTTCACGGCGTATACTGCCGCCCCAAGACCCCGCCGGAAGTCCCCGGAGTTGGGGACTGGCTTCAGTAGAAGCTGCTGGGACTCCCAGCAGCTTCTACTGAAGCCTTTCGAGTAAATCGCCAGAACGCCGACACCTCCTCATCTCCTCCGCTCCCATGTTTTCTTTTGTGTTGCCATAAGTTAGTCTCTCTGCGTTTCTGCGCTGGGCTAATGCTAATAATGCTAATGCGAGGATAATAAAATGGCGGCTTCACAAAACTTTTTGGGAGTTTTACGGGGCGTGGTTTGCAATCCGCCCAGCCAATCAGACATAGGAACCTTTTTCTCCGACGAAAGCCCCTGCTCTCTAGCAGGGACGGAAAAGGGGGTGAAAAGGTTCTGATGAACACATTTTAGTTGCGGCTCTTTTTGGTGTGAACGCGACATTTTGAACTATATCGGAACTAAAGTGGGAAAAGTACTGCGGTGTGAACGCGCCTAATGTATTCAAAGATAGTCAGCAACTCTTTCAGGTGACTGCAGACCACCTCACATTTCAGTGATTTCAATAGTATTAAAGTGTTGTTGGTGTTATATTTAACATAATCCAATCATAGTGCACAAGCAACTGTGGTTTAAATGCAAATAGAAACAGACCACTTGGGATTTGATTTCAGTGGGCAGCGATGATATTTGAAGAAACCTGCTGCCCTGCATGTTGATGTGAAGTTACATCACTTTCAACACAAGTTTCCCACGTGAGTTAACCAGGTCTGTTTCATATAATATGGATTCTAACCATGGATACTGTGAAGTGTTGTTATATGGTATGGAAAATTAAAGTGTGGAAGAGTGTATATCTGTTAAACGGTTTTAATTAAAGGATTATACCTAAAGGCAACATAATGTTACTTCACCTTTCAGAGGTGATTTTTGTATCAAATCAAGATGAACCTTCTCTACACATGACAGTAAAGTAAGAGAATGACAATGTGCACTGTGGTTAAGTGGACACAGAATACAACAGGTGTTATGTTTTATTTTATTTACAAATGTGTAATACTTTGACCACATAATGATCATCTGTTTTATCAATTACTCAACCCGTGTGACTTTGAATTCTCCAAGAAACATTTCTTGTCTGCTTCACATTGAACACAGAATCGAGAAATGGAGACAGGTCTATTAATGAATTTAAGTAAATAGGGATCGGTTTAACAATAGTAAAACTATATCAAAACATATGTTTACAATGTCTTACACAGCTAATTCATGATAATCATATCATCAAAGTCTTTTTTTCGATATAGTTTTGCTAATGTTCCAAGTTGTTGAGGATTTTCTTTCAGCTGTTTGTTTTTTCTCTCATTGTGAGGGCATGCAAGTTTTCTTCAAACATTGAATAATTGATGATTTTGTGGGTGTGGGTATTGCTCCATTATGCCTTACAGTTGGCGAGCTGAAGTCTTGTCTGCTCTTTCTGTTGGCTCGAAGTGGCTCGGGTTTTGGATTTGATATAGGTCAACTTCTTTGGTTCCATCCCACCTGGAAAACACAGGATTAAACTAACTTCAGAGGTTTTCTCAGCAATCACACTCTATTCTCTGATATGTCAAGTAGAGGACTCAAATGTGGAGTTAGGAGAACAGAGTGACACTGACAGGCCAACATCCAACATCTTCAAAGTCAAACCAGACTTCTGAATCAAAGTGGCAGGAGATCTGAACACCAAGGAGCATTGGCTCACATCTTGAAAGATGACTAATTTGTACTTCTGACCTTTAAGAGACAACAGCCTTCCTGAACTGAAACACTGAGAATGAAACCAGAGTTTTGTTTGCTGGATATTGAGTTAATGTGGAGATAAATAACATTGAACAACTAAAAGTGTTCATGGTGTGTAAGAAGAAGTGTCCCTCAGGAGATGTGGGGTTTGCAATTTAAACTGCTTAGGAATAACATTGCAGTTGTACATCTAAAGAGTTGTCATGTTTTCATATGTAGCCTTTACTAAAAACCAAAAACAGGAGGTACAAGGATTTAAGTCAAGGTGGCAAAAACGAGCACATCGGACTAATTAGCTTACTATAAGCAGTAGCCTAACCTTGCGTTACTTTCAAGGACAAGAGGCATTTCATCAGGTGACTAGTTATAATTTCAGGATCTGTTGGGTTAAAATAAAAGGCCCCTTCAAAGCACATTATTCCCCATTGCATGGAGCTAGTCCTGGGTTCTGGTATCTGAGTTAGGCTAACGTTAGCGGCTCTGTCCGGCTCTTATTTACGGTGGCCCTGAAGTGCAAGTCAAAACAGCATTTCAGGAAACGCCACAGCATTTCAGGAAACACCACAGCATTTCAGGAAACACTACAGCATTTCAGGAAACACCACAGCATTTCAGGAAACACCACAGCATTTCAGGAAACACCACAGCATTTCAGGAAACACCACAGCATTTCACAAAACACCACAGCATTTCAACTTATACGGAAAGGGTATTCCTTTAGGGAGAACACTTCTTGTTTGTGATTGGACAGAGCCAGTCAGAGAAGCACTGCTGTGATTGGTTGTTTTTTCTGCCAGTCAAGAAATTACGCTTCGTGATTGGTCAGCACCCGACAGCGCAACATGTCCCAACACATCAGCCGTTAGCTGTTAGCACTCAGAGCTCACATCTCCTCATATCTGTTCAGAAACTGGACACAAGTTAAACATGAACAAACCACAGACTGTCTGTGTCATGGTGAATACAGTCGCTGCTTCATTTATGTCTGTATGACGTATGTCTGTGAGTTTGGACGGAGCAGCTACAGGTTGGTTTATCCTGATGGATCCGATCTCCATTCAGAAAACACGCATTTTAAAAGCTTTTTCGCCTGCCGTCTGTCTGCACCACAGCATTAATTCATGGTTTTTACTAACCGGTATCAGTATGTTGTTACTTCGGCATTATTTTGAAATGTGTATTACAATTAAATCACGGTAACATATGTTAATGTTGTTGTAGTTAGTATCTACCAAAGTATTTGCATGGATATAAGCCCCGCCCCCTCTCCAGCGCGTCTTGTTTGAATGACAGGAGTTAACACAGCTGCGGTGAAACCTGAAACTCGAGCGATTAGAGCGATGTGAATATTCGGGGCTTATATCCATTGTAAGGGTCTGAGAGGCAGGGTAGTGGGAGGCACCTACATTCTCAACCCTCTTTCAATTAGCAGTATTGGGAGCAGGTGTGGAGACCTCACACCTGGTGCTAATCACTACCTCAAGGGAGACAAAGCACACAGAGTTGCTCAGTTGTGTGTGGCACATGGAGGGAGCAGGAGGCTCCCAGTGTAAGGAAAATTTTTGTAAGCTGGTAAGTCGGTTAGCGGCCCGGCAACGTTAGCCTTTGTTTAATGGAAGGTATTTTTGGAGTTTGATAGCAATAAAGCCTTTTTTTTCACTACCACTTTCCTCTTTATCTGCCCAGTCCTGTTACACTGGTGGAGGATGCAGGCATAAGGACTCTAGTGGTGGTGTTGCAGTCAAAAAGTTGCACAAAAAAAAAGAAAGAAAGTTTTTTGCATTTTTAAGATGGAGGATGTACTAAGAGATTTGGTGCACATTTCTACTGAGCAGCAGACTCTGCAACGGGAGATGATACAGGAGCAGCGGAAACAGAATGCGCTTCTCCATGTGGAGGTCCAAAAATGCCTAACAGCAGCCTCTCCTATCCAGAGGGGAGCAACCGTGCAGCCGTGCAGGACGATTCATCCCCAAAATGACAGAGTGATGAGATAGAGGCCTACTTAACAGCCTTTGAGCGCACTGCTGAAAGAGAGGTCTGGCCAAGGGACTCCTGGTTTGATCTGGTTGGACCGTTCCTCCTGGGCCCGGCACAGCAAGCTTACTTCGACCTCCCTCCTGACCAAGCAAAGGATTACGTCGTCTTGAAGAGGGAAATCCTGGCGAGGTATGGCTACAGCTTAGCAACAAGAGCCCAGCGGTTCCATGACTGGAAATACAAGCCAGAGTTGTCAGCCAGGGCCCAGATGTATGACCTAGCCCGGGTAACCAGAGCCTGGCTGACATGCAACCCTGAAAAGTTAAGTGTTTTAGAGAGGATAATGATGGACAAATACATTTGGTCTCTGTCCTATGAGATCAAGAAAATGACAAGCCAGCAGAATCCAGCCAGTCTGGATGAGTTGGTTAACCTAGTGGAGAGCCACGTGGCCACAGCGGACCTGCTTAAGTCCACACGACCAGACACCGAGTGGGGCCAGAAAGTCAGTGGGGAAGCATCAAGGACTAGACGGGCACGAGAACCGCGATGGGAACCAGAAGAGGTAAGGCGACGACAGTCCTACCTGCCAGAGGGCCAACCGCGTTGCTACCAGTGTGGGGAGACAGGCCACATTTCCTGGGACTGCCCAGGGAAGGATGAGCTAATGCCGACCGCCCACTCATCTGGTGCAAGGCCCTGCCACCTTCTTGACTCTTGCTGGGTACAGGAAAGCTCCCTGGCTCAAATGATACCAGTCAAAGTAAATGGAAAAGATGCAGAGGCGCTAGTGGACTCAGGAAGTGTGGTGTCCCTCATTCAACCCCACCTCCTCGACCATTTGCCATCCGAAGAGACTGTGCCCGTCTCCTGTGTCCATGGGGACACTAAATTATACCCCACATGCTTCATCCACCTTACCACGGTTAAAGGCAGCTGTAAGCTGAAAGTGGGGGTGGTTCCTTCCCTACCAGTCCCAGTCTTGGTGGGGCGAGACTGCCCACTATACAAGCGCCTGCGGCACCAGAAGGAGGTGAGTCCCAAAAAGCCCAAGCGTGCCAAAAGAAAACGAGGGAAAGGACATATTGCCACCCAGGGTACTTCTCCTCAGCAGTCCCCCAAAGTTGTGTGTGCTGTGCCGGAGGAGGAGAGAGGCAACCAGTGCAGACGAGGCAAATGATAACCCTTTTGTTGCTTTCCCTGGAGACATAAGCACAGGTGATGAGGAGGGGGAAGTCTCATTGCTTCCAAGTTTGAAGGGCCAAATCGGGACCGCCCAGATGGAAGACCCCAATCTGTTGCATGCACGCAGCAATGTTACGGAAATAGAAGGAAAACCAGTTCCAGGAGTAGACAATGAGGTGGCCGAAGTTGAATACGGTCCAGGGCTATCCAAAGCTCAGTTACAGCAAACCAAGGAACTGGTTCAGCAGAGTTTGGATGTGTTCTCACTACGACCTGGACGTACAACGATGGTGGAACATCAAATCCACACAGAGCCGGGCCAAAAGGTAAAGATGCGGCCCTACCGGGTGCCGGAGGCAAGACGGGCGGCCATTGAGCATGAAGTGTAGAAAATGCTGGCTATGGGGGTGATTGAAGAATCTCACAGTGAGTGGACCAGCCCTGTCGTTCTGGTTCCTAAGCCAAACAATACCAACAGGTTCTGTAATGATTTCAGAAAATTGAATGAAATCTCCAAGTTTGATGCGTATCCTATGCCCAGGATAGATGAGCTGATTGATCGGCTAGGGGAAGCCAGGTATATCAGCACTCTGGACTTGACGAAAGGGTATTGGCAGGTCCCACTTGAAGCAGCCTCAAGAGAGAAGACGGCCTTCACCACCCCCACAGGGCTGTACCAATATACTGTGCTTCGCTTCGGGCTTCATGGAGCACCAGCCACGTTCCAGAGACTGATGGACAAGGTCCTGAGGCCACATCGTGAGTATGCAGCTGCCTATTTAGATGACGTTGTTATCCACAGTTACTCATGGGATAGCCATCTCATAAGGCTTGCAGCAGTGCTCCACCCTCTTTCAATTAGCAGTATTGGGAGCAGGTGTGGAGACCTCACACCTGGTGCTAATCACTCCCTCAAGAGAGACAAAGCACACAGAGTTGCTCAGTTGTGTGTGGCACATGGAGGGAGCAGGAGGCTCCCAGTGTAAGGAAACGTTTTTGTAAGCTGGTAAATCGGTTAGTGGCCTTTGTTTAATGGAAGGTATTTTTGGATTTTGATAGCAATAAAGCCTTTTTTGGATTTGAACTCTGCCCAGTCCTGTTACACCATGTACATTTTATGGTAGACTACAACAAAATGAACATATTTGTCCGTGATTTAAATGTAATACACGTTTCAAAATGATGCCGAAGAAACAACATACTGATACCAGTTAGTAAAAACCATGAATTAACGCTTTGACAAGTCTGCAGACAGACGGCAGGCGAAAACCTTTAAAATGCGTGTTTTCTGAATGGAGATCGGATCCATCAGGATAAACTAACCTGTAGCTGCTCCGTCCACACTCACAACAACGGCCTATACAGACATAAATAAAGCAGCGACTGTATTCGCCATGACACAGACAGTCTGTGGTTTGTACTTGTTTAACTTTTGTCCAGTTTCTGAACAGATATGAGGAGCTGTGAGCTCTGAGTGATAACAGCTAAATGGCTGATGTTTCGGGACATGTTGCGCTGTTGGGTGCTGACCAATCACGAAGCGTAATTTCATGACTGGCAGCAAAAACAACCAATCACAGCAGTGCTTCTCTGGCTGGCTCTGTCCAATCACATTCAAGAAGTGTTCTCCCTAAAGGAATACCCTTTCCGTATAAGTTGAAATGCTGTGGTGTTTTGTGAAACGCTGTAGCATTTTCTGAAATGCTGTGGTGTTTCCTGAAATGCTGTGGTGTTTCCTGAAACGCTGTTTTGACTTGCACTTCAGGGCCACCATACCTTTATTATATTAGATGAACCTAACCCTGAAAGATTGCGTTGTTTTCAATACTGCTTATGCACCGTGTTAGACTGGAAAGCTTGACAGGCGTAAAAGCTTCTCTTTTTTTCTGTGCGTATATGTTATGTTTGGCGGAGAACCCTCCCCTCTGAACCACCAAACATAAAATACATGTTGGCACATGCTGTGTGAGAAGCATAATAAGCAGGCCTGTCAGTGTGGAGGCTCGGGTTATTGGAATGATCAATGCTGCTTCCGGTAGTCTATTACGTGTGGATATATATATAAACATATGTGCTCCTTTAAGTGACACACTTGTTAAACTAAAGCAGGAAGCGTGAAAGCAGTGGATGTTCGTGAAATGAATTTTGTGAGAATGCCTCTTAAACATCTCCTTGATGGATACATGAATAATGAACACCCAAGCATAACTTTCACTGAATATGTCCTTATTGGAAACTCCAAAGTGTTTTCAGAAGCAGCATATACACTGAGCAAAACCCCACTTTAAAACTAATGTATCAATTTATGGACATCATAAGGCGCTTTCACACCGCAGTACTTTTTCCACTTTAGTTCCGATATAGTTCCGAAATGTTGCGTTCACACCAAAAAGAGCCGGAACTAAAATTAGTTCATGAGAACCTTTTTACCCCTTTTTAGAGAGCAGGTACTTTCGTGGGAGAAAAAGGTTCCTATTTCTAATTGGCTGGGCGGAATGCAAACCACGCCCCGTAAAACTGCCAAAACGTTTTGTGAAGCCGCCATTTTATTATCCTCGCATTAGCATTATTAGCATTAGCCCAGCGTAGAAACGCAGAGAGTGGCAACACAAAATAAAACATGGGAGCGGTGGAGATGAGGAGGTGTCGGCGTTCTGGCGATTTACTCGGAAGGCTTCAGTAGAAGCTGCTGGGAGTCCCAGCAGCTTCTACTGAAGCCAGTCCCCAACTCCGGGGACTTCCGGCCGGGGACTTTGGGCGGCAGTATACGCCGTGAAGTTGTTTGCGGCCTGCCAGTAAACCCAAAGCAGAAGAAGAAGAAGTGACGTCAGCGGCTTAATTTGCCTAATCCTCCCCCAGGGACTTATTCCGGTGTGAACGCGATCTGTACTTAGTTCATGAGAACTAAAGAGTTTTATTGAACTAAAGTGGGAAAAGTACCTATAGTAACTAAAGTGGGAAAAGAAACCTATAGTAACTAAAGTTTCACCTAGAGATGTTTGTGTTTTTTATGTACTTTTACTGCCAGATTTGCAGATTTGATGATGCTCACAATCTAGCATCATGTTGTTGGTTTTTAATAGAGGTTGGTGTCCAGAAACATCACAAGCAGCAACATAGGGGCAGCAGGGTATCTGCAGAGACCCACACACTATACATTCTTTTTAGGAAAATCCTACTCCTTGCCTTAGGAGACCTTTTCACATTCAAGTGTTATCATTACTTTAGACAATTAGAACGTTTTACATTCATTTTAGTTTAGTTTAAGTTACTTTGCATTTGTTAGTTAGTGTTATTTCGTTTATGGTTGTTTTTGTATATATGTTCATTTCAATTTTTGTAAATATAGTTTTAGTTGCCATACGAAAATATTTTACACTGCCTAATTTTGTTTATAAAAATAACCCTTCTCCAGAAAACTAGTAGGAGAATCCCCTTGAAGCGTCCTCTGGACCCCTGCAGTCTACACTGGGGGCGTTACTGTACCTGGGGGGGGTCTGGGCAGCCTGCTCTGGGTATCACACACACTGGAACACGTCACAATGGGTTGAGACTGGGGTTGGATGGGCTGGAGGAAGGCCACAGTGGGGAAAGGCACTGAGTGGATATGGGTCATGGAGGAGCTGGAGAAGGAGTTTGGCCCCCCTGCATGGCTGCTGTCCTTAAAACCGGAGGGTATTCTCCAGCGGGGTAAAGGGGAAGGAGACACATCCTTGCTGGAGGAGCCGGGGATACTGGGAGGACTGAGGGACTGGTCTGGGGTTGAGGAGGACTTAGGGAGGAGTTGCAGGATGGAGGAGAAGAAGGAGCAGGATTCAGGAAGGGGGATGGTCCCGATCCCACTGTCCAATGTCCGCATCTTGCAGCCTGAGCCTGGGCACAGGGAGGACAGCGAAGCGGCTCAGGAGAGAGAGGGAAACAACAGAAATGACACAGCAGGGTAACCATGGTTGAAGTGGAGCTAAAGAAACCTTTAAAATATACTAACACAAAATAATAATAGTTGGTTACTAATCTATATCTTGTGCTGTAACTCTGCACTGTTGTCTTCAGGAAATATGTGTGTAAAGATTTTCCACGTGAATAATCGATTTTTACTCACTCTGATAAATAAAGTCCTTGAAATGAAAACTGAAGATTTGAATCAGTGAAATTATCAAATGAGGGCAGCTTTACGTCAATAATAAGGGCTCTCTCTGCGGGACTATGTGATTGTTTTTCTGTCATGCCTCCTTCTTATTCCTGCCATATTATCCTCTGTTAACAGCTGATTCTAGTGCTGTGTTTCATTCATTTTTGAAGCAGACATCCAACAGATGGTTAGTCTGTTCTCTTATTTATTCTCCATTCACTTGTCAATAGTTTCCTATTGCAAGCCAAATTGAAATATTCTGGTTCAGTACAATGTAATTACACATAAGTGTGCGGCTGGGTAATGACTCAGTTCATTACCACATACACATAGCTCTGTCACACAGCATGACTCAGCCACTTTCAAATCAAGCCCACTTAAACCACTGCTTTCGACTACAGATGGGTGAGTAGTAGCATGCATTGATCACACTGTGAATATGAAATGTGAGAAATGCCATATGAAATGAAACTTAAATACACTTCAAATGTGTGTATTTGTATTAGCAACACATCAAACACAACTCAAACACAAGCGGTCATGTTTTATGTGATGTTTCTCAACATCAATGAAAAAGTCTGACATAGTGCCTGCAAAACTACAATTAGAGTTACACTGATACAACTACAGCTCTGCATTTCAAATATGTGATGTGTAATTCACATTGCTGTTCAGCAACTTTAAAAACCGAGCAGAAATAAAAAAGAGCAGAAATAATAAAAAAACAAGATGGATCACAGCAGCCATCTATCTGAATCTAAATAAGAAAATATATCCACTAGCTGTTCATGTTTAATATGAACCCTGTGGCAGGAACCTGCAGGCATCTCAGGCAGGAGCAAGGCAACAGCTGCTCCCCTTTATTAATTAAGGCGTGCTCCCATGAGACTTCACGCCCCTCTTACTTTCGGCAACATTCTTCTTTGTCTGGATTGCTCAAAATAATTGAGTTTTTCCAAATGTGTGAAATTACCAGAGAATTAGGATAGTGGGAACAAATTATGAATAAAGTTAAAGGTATTTTTTGTCATGGAAATGTATTCCTACTCTTTTACTTAAGTAAAATAATCAATATCACAGTGTAAGAACAACATTTTAATAACATCTTTACAGATTCCATGTATAAAGGTAATTGTAAGTTAAGCAGCACTTAAGCAGCACAAGTGTCTGTTTTTAACTGTTGTAAACAAGAACAATTAATTGAATTGAGAAGACATAGAACAGACGTTATTGATTAGTTTGGTGAGTTGGAAGTTAAGGAGCACTGTGATACAGTGTTGCCTGAAAGCAGCATCACACAGGCTGAGCATTGATTGGTTTAAACAAACATTGAACATGTGTGAGCTTCACATCCTTCCTCTGTTGTACCAAGCTCAATCAATAACTGTCTCCATGTCCCAAGTCAACACTTCTTCTGGTGTTGTATATGGCCAGTGGTTTGAAAGCTGATCTGGTAGGACCATAGAGAAATAAGGTAAACTAACCTGGGCTGGTATCAGCTGGCAGCACACAATGCGACAGCGTGTTGTGAATACAGATTCAGCCTTAAGCATCTAAACCTTTGCAGGTATGTTTTTAAGCTGTTCAAAGCACCTTTAGATAAGCAACTGTTAAGTCTGCAAACCGACATTAGCATTTTGTGTTGCAGGCTCATTGATAGAGCTTATGGTCCAACACAAGACGTGTCCATTACTATAGATGAGAAGAAGACCTTAGCTAAGAAGCTAATGCGGGTTGAGAGGTGTCACTGCTGTCCGGCCGTCAGTCAGTGCACCCATCACCCTGTAATGAAACGGTGACAACGCTGATTCATCTATTTGAAATTACTCTTTTGATATGGTACATGAAAATGATTATTTGCTCATTTAGGGCAGGCAACGATGTTCTGATGGGTGCCATCATTGCACCAGAACATATAAACTATCAATGTCTCCTCTTTCGAGATTCAAGTAGTTGCACTTTAAAACAGAAGAGAAGAAGAATAAGTTATTGTGATTTGACAATACATAATTACCACAGGTTTTATATCATTATTATAATTTTATTATAGGTTTCCGTTTTGCTCACCTTATTTTAAAGCATCAAGTTTAAAACTACTTGTTCAACTCAGCACGAAGCCCATCAAGTTTCTGTTCAGTCTGATGGTTAATCAGCTCCCAGCAGGGGGGACAGTTCATTCACTCTTGGAGCGTGCTTAGCCGGTGCAGTGCTGACATTTTAATGAGGTGATTAACCCCTGAGGGCAGTCCCCCCACCGGTATCTAACACGCTTGATATTTCCAGCGCCTTGCTGATGGTGTCACTCTGACCAATAACGTTTCAGCAGTGTCTGTCAAAAGCCCTTTACCTGAGCAATGTGGAGAGTTTATCTGCTGCTGTTTTAATTTAGCAAGTGGCCGCAATGACATCAGGAGCAACTAAAGTTGTACTTCCTGTCTAGTTTCACTCTATGGCTGAGCTCTGATATTCCTTTATTTTCCTTACAGATTTCCCACAAAGATTACAGCGGTGCTAATTATACGATGGCAGTGGCTCAGTCATATGGAGTGTGGACTAGCACTTGGAGAGGTCCCAGTCCACCTCCTGCCATGCCGTGGTGCCCTTGAGCAAGGCACCGGACAACCCCCCAACTCCCATTGCATCCCGGGCGCTGTGCAATAGCTGCCCACTGCCCCTGGTACTAGGATTGGTTAAATGCAGAGAACACATTTCACTGTGTGTGCTGTGCTCTGCATGTGTGACCATTAAAGAGGGTTTCATCTCTCCCATTCTGTGGTGGATGTGTTGATGTGGTAACAGTTCAACTTTCCAAAGATGGTTGTTTCATTGAGAATTGTTGCTAAAGCTCACCCTCATAACCCCTCTTCTTTATCCACATAAAGTCCAATGTGTATGCATTTATGAACAGACTAAATCTGCGTCCCTATTTCGATCATGTTGATAGTTTATTTTTCAGTATGAACAAATGGTCCATTGCTTCAAATTTGGCTTTTTCCTCAGGTAAAGGACATTTCACAGTACTTTACACTAAAGGAGATAAGAAGGTTAGCATTGAAGCACCTTTCTAGGGCTGGCGTCACACTGTCCCGAAATTGACACCAGATGGACACACGAATATGGAATTGTGAATTTCGCACGAAGATGGCCCCCGAACTTGGTCAACAGCCAAGCAACAGCCGAAGCAAGTACGATGCCTACAGAAGGCCACACAATGGCACCCGAACCACACACAAAGGCATGTTGATAGCAACAACAACGTCCTGTCAACAGCGTAAACTTGCCTTCAAAATAAAAGCATCTAAATGAAACAGGAAGTTAACCTAAATTACATTTAAGACATACAACTGCAACGAAAGTAACAACAACAATGTAATATCCTTTTCAGTTTCACAGAACACAAATTGGGTTATTTACATAATGTTTACATGATTTTGTTGTGCAATAAAACAACCAGAGAAGCGATAGCCTTTTATATGTCTACGTTACCATGACACATGGGAAATGCTTGAGCTACTCAAATTCGGCTGTCTTTGCCGACACCGTGGTCCCATCTCGATGTCATCGTACTATAACACGATGGCTACACGACGGCATTGTGAGGGCTTCACGTAGTCATGTTGCCTTCCTAAGACAATCGGGCAGCTTCTTGTTTCCTTGGTATTGTCTTCGTGAAGCGAAAAATGCCCGATGGCACCGATGATCACACGAAGTAAAGACGAAGATGACACGATTTGACAAGATGCCCTCACAATGGCCTTACGAAGGGCAACATGGACACACAAATTCAACACAAAAATGAACCTTCGCAAGGTCTTTCGGCAATATTTTTGGCATGCCAACGATTTTGCCACTGCTCACGAAGTTGCTGCCGGAGCCTAAGAAACTCCACCGGCGGTTATACGATGGCTTAAGATGCCTTCACGAATGGCCCGATGTTGTTACACTCAGAGCCGAATTTGAACATTTCCTTTATTGCGTGTCCATCTGGTGTCAATTTCGGGACAGTGTGATGCAGGCTTAAGCATTAACACAATATGACCAACTCTTATCATGGCTGCCAGGAAGATACTTTCCGGTTATTTAACAATAAAGAAACATCCTAAGCCTCTAAGATTGTTCTACCACAGCCTATGTCTTTCTTCTTTGGACTAGATTACCACCTCTAGATCTACCAAGGTAATAAGGTCGATTAAAAAGGTCCACCGCAACGACAACATGAAACATGTCGGGAAACAGTTTCTCCGTTCCACTCCGCTCCGGGTGGGTGTGGGGGGGGTGCTGTCGGTTGTGCTTGATGTGTTGGGTGGCATGTCTCTTCTGCCTGGGCCCCCAGAGTGTCTTGGGACGCCACTGCCGACGGCGACAAGACGGCGTACAGAGAGGAGTTCGAAACCCTGACATCTTGGTGCCAGGATAACAACCTCCATCTCAACGTCAGCAAAACCAAGGAGCTGATTGTGGATTACAAGAAGCAGCAGGGAGAGGGACACGCCCCCATCGCCATCAATGCGACTACGGTGGAGAGAGTCAGCAGCTTCAGATTCCTCTGTGTCCACATCACTGAGGACCTGACATGGACTCATCACTGAGGACCTGACATGGACTCTTCACACCACCGCCATCACCAGAAAAGCTCGACAGCGGCTCTTCTTCCTCCGCAGGCTGAGGAGGTTCAACATGGACTCCAGGATACTCTGCAACTTCTACAGGTGCACCATAGAGAGCATCCTGACCTTCTACAGGTGCTCCATAGAGAGCATCCTGACCTTCTACAGGTGCTCCATAGAGAGCATCCTGACCTTCTACAGGTGCTCCATAGAGAGCATCCTGACCTTCTACAGGTGCTCCATAGAGAGGATCCTGACCTTCTACAGGTGCACCCTAGAGAGCATCCTGACCTTCTACAGGTGCTCCATAGAGAGGATCCTGACCTTCTACAGGTGCTCCATAGAGAGGATCCTGACCTTCTACAGGTACAGCATAGAGAGGATCCTGACCTTCTACAGGTGCACCATAGAGAGCATCCTGACCTTCTACAGGTGCACCATAGAGAGGATCCTGACCTTCTACAGGTGCACCATAGAGAGCATCCTGACCTTCTACAGGTGCACCACAGAGAGTATATTGACTCTCTACAGCAGGGGTGAGGAACCTTTTTCCTCTCAAGGGCCATTTAAATTGTTTTCAACATCCTCTGAGGGCCGTACACATGATTGACCTCTGCTTAAAAATACTAAGATCACAGCCCATTCATTTGGCCTTTCTTTCATGCTGTGCAAAGAAAAAGCAACCTCTTAACCCAGATATCTTACCATGATGCACGTGCACGGTTGTGGCATGACCACCAAACAGAAAGATATGGACACAAGATGTGTGCAAATGTATTTAGTTTCCTATCCATGTGGACATGATTTAAGTGGTGGGGGTCCTCACCTCCTCTAGGGGGGTCCTCACCTCCTCTAGGTCCTCACCTCCTCTAGGGGGGTCCGGGGGCATGCTCCCCCGAGAAGATTTTTTTTTAAATATTGAAGTTGAAAGCATCAATCTGGTGCACTTTGAGAGCAACATGAAGAGATCTATGGATACATCTCTCAACACCCATATGAAACAGAACTGGAAGAAGATTTATATTTCTTTATGGATATTTTACAAATCACTCCCCTTTTAAACTGTATTCTTCTTTATTAATAACAACTTTTTTTATTGTCATATAGTATTTTATACCTGTTTACTTTATTCTCTTATTTTTTGATAACTATAATGATCATATAAAGATGTGCCTTTACCTCACTGGTTGTAGAAAAAGCTTCTTATATTCGTTAGCATAGCTAGCTAACCAGATGCTAATAACAACAAAGTTATTGACTGTATGATCAGTATGACAGATGAACAGATCGCCACTGGGCTTTCAACTAAAGACACAGCCACGCAAAAACTGTGGCATGTGTACGGCTCCTTATCGGTACTGCAATTTGTGAAGTGCCGAGCGACGTTCTGGTGCTCTCCGGCAGAAATGCACCCCTGTCAGGCGAGACATATACCACGTGATGACATGTTAGGCTCGTGTTGTGTTCAAGGACCCTGACCTTGGCCAGAAAAAACAGGTACTCACTTGTTTAATTCTTTTAAGGTCTAGATTTCTTCTTTTTTTTGCGTGTGTTTATAAATTACCTCGAGGGCCGTACCAAATGGTCCCGCGGTCCGTATACGGCCCGGAGGCCGGAGGTTCCCCACCCCTGCTCTACAGGTGCACCATAGAGAGGATCCTGACCTTCTACAGGTGCACTATAGAGAGCATCCTGACCTTCTACAGGTGCACCATAGAGAGTATCCTGACTGGCTGCATCACGGCCTGGTACGGCAGCTGCACCGCCCTCAATCATAAGGCTTTACAGAGGGTGGTGAAAACTGCAGAGAACATCACCAGGACGGAGCTGCCATCCATGGAGGACCTTTACTCCCAGCGGCTCAGGAAGAAAGCCCTCAGGATTATCAAAGACCCCCATCACCCCAGCCTCAAACTGTTCAGTCTGCAGCCGTCTGGCAGGCGGTACCGCAGCATCAGGACTAAAGCCACCAGACTCAGAGACAGCTTCATCCCACACTTTTGAAAGAACATCCATAATATTCATCTGGCTGCAACTTACAAATTATGTATCTAATATATCATATTCCAATCACTATTTCACTATTTCCCTACTTTACTATTTTCTTTTTTGTATTACTTGCACTACTTTTTCAGATTTTTCTGTTTTATTGTGTTGCACTGTTGTGATCTAAGATTTTCATCGACATAACTACACATGTACGTATGACAAATACAAGCCTTGAACCTTGATCCTATGACTACACAACTCTAGAGAACCCCTCCCACCCCCTCCCTGCAGAGCTAGTGAAGATGAGGAGCACATTCAGCCTCAGACTCATCCCTCCCTGCAGAGCTAGTGAAGATGAGGAGCACATTCAGCCTCAGACTCATCCCTCCTCGACATAGCACCAAGCGCCTCGGACAGGCCTTTGTGCCTGTAGCCCTCAGGCTGCACAACAAGTGCAATAAGTCAACTATGTGACACAAACTGGACATAAATACATACTGTTTCCACATATTCATTTAAATATATCTATGTATATGACCCAATATGTATATATGCCCATTTTAATTCATTTCTTATTTCATAGTTTTTCATCATTTACATTTTTATCTTTGATTTGATCTTTAATTGTGTTAACCTGAGTGAATCTGCGCTGTCCTGTTTTTCACTCTCACCCTGTTGCTGTTTGAACTACTGAATTTCCCCACAGGGATTAATAAAGGTCCATCTTATCTTATCTTATCTATAGAAACAAAGCCTTCCAACAATAACTCACTCCCCCCCCCCTGCAATGTGACACTTCCATTTCTGCCCCCTGTTTTATGTCTTTATGTTTTGTCCTTATATGTTTCTTGTTAAGCGACCTAATTAAAGGTTAATGAAAGGCGCTATATAAATTAAAGTTATTATTATTATTATTATTATAGGAAGTCAATGCTGGACCAATCCATTCTATCTTCACACATCACTGTGGTCCACACAACAACGAATGGAAGTAGCCTGAACCCCCAAATGGATCCAAAGGGTCATTCCAATTCAACGAGGATTGGAATGACCCTTTGGCACATTGTCAGTGCATGCATCTGTGAAGATGATGATCAAAGATACAATATCTCCATTCAGGCAATCTGTGAAATACAACCACGGTGAAATGGTTGGATTTGCCCTATTTCAAACTGCCACCCAAATAATAAACAAATGTAGAGGTAGAACAAATCAAATGAACACAAATATGGAGGAAAAAGCACACACCTTTGCATGTTTGTTCGACTGCTTAAAGCATATTCATCATGTTTATGACTTACACATATCTTTCATATTTGGTCTTCACTTCTTCCTGCAAACTGTAAAATGGTAAGCACAGATAAAACCTTAAGGCTAGCATGCTAAAATTGACAGAGCTAACATTGTTAGCTTAGTAAGTTTTGTTTTTCAGGGGATCCAAAACGTTTCATTGACTGTAAGGAATGTTTTGAAGTCTTACACAGAGAATAGAATAGAAGAATCTGACCTATTACAGCATCCTGGTTGGAGCTCTTCACTGTGGATCCATTTTCATTAGCGGCTCTAATGTTCATCACCTGCATCTTGAATTTGTAGGAGGAAAGACAAGAAGTTACAGACATGTTCATTCATACTTCTACATGTAAAGTATCATTGTTTGTTTCTCAGTTCGAATGCCAACCCAGGTCGGCGACACATCAATTGTTTGTCAGTTTCCCTCATTTGATTGGCACTGTACATGCTCTACATGTATTACTCAATTGTTAGTGGTCCTCCTTGGATGCATTTATATACACAGTCTAACAGGTTTTTAACTTCTAAAAGTCATCACATACATACACAGACTACAGCATATTGCGTCTGCCTATACCTGAAAGCTGATGGTTGACTTGTCAACACTTCTTGTTGTTAACCACCAACTATGTGCAATATATATATATATATATAGGCCGTTAATAACTGTGCGATATATACCTGGCTGCTAAATCCTCAGAACTGTTACAGGATGTGTTTTTTGTAAATTGTGTAACTTTTTTTATTATATATTTTTTTAATCTTTAATATTTTGTTTTATGCATGCTACTTAGGTAACACTAAGCTGTCTTTAGTTTTGTTCTGCTGTAACAATGTACATTTCCCCTCTGTGGGACTAATTAAGGTATTCTGATTCTGATTGTTGATATTTTCTTTGGATAAAAAAATGGGCGCTAATGGTTACACGATCAACACAGTGATACAATGTAAAGATTTTTGAAATAAGGTTTGGTAACTAAATCCCAAAATGATGAAACTGTGTGTCACACAATTTGAGGGACAGATGGTGGAATTAGCCTGAAGTGCATCTTAGTTGTTAAGACAGTCGTGTAGTGTTTGTCTGTTTTCATTTGATTCCACTCTATGTCTTTCCTTTCAGTTTTGGGAAAAGTGCATTTCCAAAATAATATCTTCCTTTTCTCTGGGTATGTTTTTGTTTTTGATGCTTCTTTCTGGTGCAATTGCAGTAATGTCATATTACTCTAACAAACATGCTTTACATAAAACAGGGTTTGTATACAATTTCATATGAATACATTTTGTGAATAAAATAACTGCCCATTTTGTATTAGGTAAGGATTTGATTTACCTTCGGGTCCCCAATGATGTCAGTGTGTCCTTGTATCTCACTCAGGGACATTCCTGGGCATGGCGTTGAGATGCATGCCCGAACTGCATCATGAGACTCTCTTATCCCCACAGAGCTGAAAGAAAATGCTTTGTTAACAGATCGCTACAGAGGTCCTCTGAATCAACATGCCCGGAATGATTCAGCTGAAAAATGACCCTACATCTCTATAATCCTCTGTATTACATGAATCTCAAATGGGCTATGGAGACTGACAGAGTCAAAGAGTACTTGATAACAATGACAGAAGGCATCAGAGACCATAGATGACTTAGTTATAAATGAGCTATGAAGACGTCTGCTGAAACACAAAATAATGGTCAAATGTTAAGTTAAAACGTAAATGACAATAACGATTTCAAAGAGTTATTGTACTGGTATTGTGTTAAGTACAACATAGTCACAAGATGGCATCATTACCGATTTAATGCATTTCTTACCACTCTTTTCCATCACTTTTTCTTCTGTCTTTCTTTTTGTCAGACTTTGACTGCTTTCCTCCCAGAAGTGATGTCATCTTTTGCTCCCTCTTTTCCTCTTTTACTTTTGGTGGATCAGTCTTTTTACAGCTTGGAGCAGGAAGCTTACTCTTACGAAAACCAAACCAATTAGCCAAGGTTGAGCCAGATTTTTGTTTCACTTCAGTGGTTCTCTCCTGCTCATGAGTCTTGTGCAAGTTCTCTTCTATGCCCAGCATCACTTTTTCTTCGATTGTTGTTATAGTACTCTGCCCCTCTGGTTCTTCAGAAACTGGCTCGCCAAAGGCGCTCGAAAACTGTTGCTCAATCTGAAGGCGTCTAACTTGCTCTCGTTGGTGTTTAAGACTCTGAAGTCTTTCAGTAGAGGAGCCCAAATGTGAAGGGGTTGTCAGTCCCTCTTCAATCAAGAAATTGTTTAAAAGAGATCTGTTCATTGGACAATGGTAGCTGCTGGAGCAGCTCATACTTCCTGGAAGGACATCACTTAGAGAGTTCAAGGAGCTCCCTGAGTGTGTTTTGATCTGGGTACGGACCTTACCAGATCTGTTGAAACTTGGCCTGTCCATGTAGCGTGCACCAAAGCTCTGGCTACGAGCCTTAGCCCCATTCATGCCCATTACTGGCTTAAGGGGAGGTCTGGTTGATACAGACACAGACCGTTTAAACAGCCAACCTTCCTCATCAAATCCCCAATCTAACATCACACCGCTGTCTGAGGCAACAGGTTGAACTGGGGGTTCAGAATCCAGCGAGTTACAGCGGGTCTCAATCTTCCGCCGGACTTTATCATGAGCTCCACATTCATGTTTCATCTGGGGATCACATGTAAAAGTCTGAAAGGTATGGATACTTTTTGCAGTAGAGTTAATGTCATCTTTGTTATGTCTTCCAAAAGATAGGAAGGTACCAGTTTCCTGTCCAGCAATAGCCTCATGAGATCTAGCATTAGCAGGAAGAGCCATTTTGACAGCATTGGAGTTGGGACCTTGATGATTATTGGCAACCCCATGGTAGTAAACATTAGAATATGCCTGAGGCAAGAATTCTGAAAGTTTTGGCTCACTAATGCTCTGTTGGGATCTCTGTAATATGCTTTGAGTTGGAAATATATTGGGAGCACCATGTTCAATATGGCATATGGCAGTTCTGTCCATAGAGAGCTGGACTAACTCTGAAGACTCTCGAGCTGGGACAGGGGGCATCTTGGATGAGTTGGTAGGGTAAACTTTGGCAGGAATATCCTTCGTTGACTTACCGTCAGTGCTCAATAGTGGGGCTGCATGTTGATTGTCCTTTGTAGTGTTGGATAGTTGCAGCTGTGAAATTGAAGAAATATTTGATTGTTGCTTCGTGACGTTGGATGTTGTCTTCCCAGTTGTAGAGCTTTGAGGCTGACCTGCAGATGTTGCTTTAAGTAAGCTGTCACTACTTGGCCTAAGGACTAGAGAAGTTGTTCGACCTGGGGGTGGCGGTAGGAATGGGGACCTAATTTCTGAACGGGTACTATCACAGTGCTGGTCTTTGCGTCGCTGTTTTCGTGGAGAGCAAGGTAAGTTGTCATAGATGCTCTCTTCTACAGGCTCATTGTTTGATTGAAGTCTATTGATTTGCAAAGGTGATTTATTTGGGCTCTTTGAACATTCATTGTTGCCTGGAGGCTTAAATGCCTTTGAATGTTTCACAGGGGAAGCAAGCGGAGAGCGCACACTCTTTATAGACTTGGAATTTGCTGATACCGCAACTTCCTCCTCTTTCTCATCTTGACATAGGGATCCCTTGCTCGAAGAATTTGTATTGCTGAGATCTGTCCTTTTGCTAGGAACACTGTGTCCAGGAGGGTTTGATTGTCCTTTGGACCTGTGGCCCTTAATAAGCTTCTGGTGGAGAGGTGAATGTGTTTGCTTAGTTTGTTCTTTCCCTCCATCCGCACTCTTGCTCCGCAGAATAAAAGCCTTTCTTGCGGAGTCACAAAGCTGAGGTTTGGGTTTCCTCTGTGAAGATTCTGAGATGGTGTGGTTCTGGTTTTCACAGCCAGCTTGATTTGCATGGTCTCTGCAGTGAGGAACCTCCATAGAGGAGCTACGCTGTCTGGCTACGTTCACACAGCTCAGAGCTTTAGTTGCAAAATGCTGAATAGAAGAGCTCACTTCATTCTTCCCAGCTTCAACTTGTGTAAGTACAAGTCTACTCTGTTGTTTTTTGACATGATCAAGTCTGGATTTACGGTCAGTAGACCTTTCCTGGTTATTGTTTTTGTCACTTAACTTCATGCCTGAAGGTTTTTGTTTTTCTATTGAGTCTTTGTTTTTTTCTTCCAAATGCGTGAAGCTAGTGGTTGGGCTTATGCCAGGTTTTACTGTGGGGTCGTCCAAAAATAAGAAGTTGTCTGTGACAGGGGAAGGAAAAGGACCAGAATCCCCTGCAAGTTTTACAGGTTCTTCTTGGAAATTGTTGTCATTATCTCTTGCTACATCCAGTTTATCCAAGCAAACAAGCTCTCTTGTTGGTTGGTCATGGGATTGACAACTTTGTAATTTAGTTGAGTCATCATCTGCATCATCAGAGTCGAGGGCAGCAGTCCCTGCTCCAGCCTTCAAAGGTTGATTTGTAGGGGCTACCTGCTTGGCAGTACTCCCTTGTTGGCCACACTTGAAACCAAATGAGTATATGCCCTCGTTGGAGATCATGCAGTCTTTGCAGTGTTGCACAGTTGCAGCTGAGGATGCCTCTTTGGAGCTGCACATCTGGAGATGCTTTAGGCCTTTCAGAATGTGGCCTTCCTTCCATCCCAGGTCTGTCTGCTCGATGGGTGCAGAGTGATTACTTGAAACTGAACCCGTGCTCATCCTTTTGTCCCGGCTTGTGGCACACTGCAATACAAGACATATTTTACATAATTAATATGACATTTACAGATGGTTCGTTGTTTTTATTAAATTACCATAAAGACATAACAACGATTTTACTTTCACAAACAGCTTACAATTTAACTCAAAAGAAGAGGAAATGGAGATGATTGACACCTACCTGTTTGGAGAATCCCCGCCCCTCCGCCCAGGTGTGGGAGCCACTGGAGTATTCACTACAAGCACTGGACAGAGACAGCTCACTGCCACTGCTGCCGCTGCTGCGCGGGCAGGTGAGACTCAGCAGGCTAGGCCACCGCCCTGCAGGAACACCCGCTTTTCCATTCCTTTGGACCTCCTGGAAAATAAATAATGATATAATGAATCAACAGAAATGAAAGAAAAACTATAGAGAAATAGATGAAGAAGCAAAAACTTTAGTCTATACAAAATGTAATGTCTTTGTTGCAGGCTAATAAAAGACTGATTTACATTACATGTCACTTGTTAGACGCTTTTATCCAAAGCGACTTACATACTCAACACTGTGGACAATCCCCACAGGAGCAATTTGGGGTGAAGTGTCTCAGGGACACAACGACATGCTGACTGCAGTGGGGTTTGAACCTGTGACCCCCTGGTCCCAACACCTAGGCTCTATCCACTGCGCCACACACCTCCCTATATACAACTTGATTGCTCAGTACTGACAAAGATTATGATTATGGCTCACATTCATACCAGTGAATTCAATGTTTGTTCATGTACCCAATTCCTGACATTATATTTGATAGATTGTCTTTGCAGTCCGAGTGATATACACATTACTCTTCTTCCTGCATTTCATTGTGGAACACTGTTGATATCAATTCACAATGACAATAATTGAACCTTGAACCAAAGATAATGTCCTATCTCCGTTTGTGTCTGTCAGACATCTCAAAAAGTCCCTATCCTGGATACATGTCTCTTTACAACCTAAGGCCACTTGTCAGATGGCTTCTATTGTAAAATAATGTGTTTTCATGTTTCTCTGGTTTTGCAGGTGTTCCATGATAACTTATCAGGAGCCAGTCCATGAGACATTTTAAACTGCTGGTTCTCTTCTTACATGACTCACGCAAAATATGTTAGGGTTGAAAACGTTATGAGCGTAATGCTTTAGAGTTGGTCTACCAACTCAAAATAACCATTTACATATTGTTACTGATTCTTTATATCATCTATCACTGGCCTGTCCATCAGAAATGACGGAGGAGAGAATAGCACACTGTTAGCTTCCTCATTGAATAGTCTTTATAATAGCATGCAGAAGTATAACTTATAGAACCTTAATGAAACTAGATATCACAGACTATTGTCTCCAAAAAGGTCTTCAGCTGATGTGAGATACTGTTTCCAAAGAGACATTATGACAGAGTCTGATTTGAAAGTGTTGGGAATATACTGAAGGTACTCTTCCAATATCAGAGTAACATGCTAACAAAGGTATCCCAACTGGAACTGTGAACATGACAGGATGTGTGATTACCTAGAAGAGCATCAGGACTGTTTGAGGCATGTGATAGCTATGTGATTAACATGATGATTCAGCCTCTATGGAGAGAGACATCAAGCATGCTCATTTCTGACGTGGAGCTAATCAGAAGTAAACATTGAATACTGCTTTCTATTCCTCCATCTTGTGACTGTGTAACTCCCTCTCTTGGATATCAGCATGTGAAGGACACTGTTCAGGAACTAGTTGATGCTCTGTATGTGATGACTACTTCCATTCTGGAGAGGATCACAGACACATGGATCCTGAGATTCAAGCTCAAGCCGGGGACCAGTGATATCTTTCTAACAGTTCAAAGGTTGAAAGCCTTAAATATTTTATACATTTATAATTAAATTGTATTTTCATTAAGACTGCTTTGTTGAATCTGAAGCATGGTGAACAAGCTGCCATCAAAGGTTATTTATTGATGGGTTCATTGTTTTCTGTAGTAGTTTTAAGGCGGTATCTAATGCAAAGGAAATAAAAAGGTTGGACTTAATTATTAGAACCAACAACCATAGATGCACAACTCCCAACAGCCTACAGCCACTTCAGCTCTTTATCCATAAACTGCATTACAAAACCACAGTGTCTCAGCTTTATCGGTCCTGATGAGCTGAGTGTGCAGTATCCAACAAGTCCTCCAACTCATACGACCAAATAGGTCGATTGTTCAGCAGCTTATTACGACCTATAGTCACGTTTGAAAGTTTAGCACCTCTAGTGGTCGTGTAAGGAACAACAATTTGCGGCAATTGCAAACGCTCTGGAGGGACGTTTATTCATAAATAACCCTCTATGGAAAATCCTAAATTGTAGGATAGTTTGGCCATTAAAATGCTTTTTGATTAGATTTCTGGCGAGAAGTGTATATTGTACTTTTAGAATCCACGTCCAGTGGATGTGTAGGATCTATAGTTTGATAGATATTACGAAGATGGTTTGAGGTCTCGCCAGGAGAAAGTGTATGTCTTTCCCCCTATGTAAAGTTAGCATCAACCCTCACCGGGATGAAAACAGTATTTCTGGTCTCGACGTTTTCATAATAAAATCGTATTCCCCTCACTGTCAAATGATTTAACAGTGATATCTGCCGTACTCCTCCACTAAAACACATCAGTTTATCCTTGTTAATTACACGACATTAATTGGTTTAAATTGTGTACACTGCTGTTGTGTTTTTCCCATAGATTTGTCCTTTTCGATTCTGAGAGACACATTTCTTTTTTCAGAGGTTTTGATAGGCATCGAACTACCCATAATCCTCAGCTATCGTTGAAGCTTGGTGATTGGATGTTTGGGATATGGTGTTTATGCGATGTGAAATCCGAAAACATTAAAAAAAATAAAAATAATAATACTTTATTCCGAGTGTTCTTGCTTTTCTCTTTGAAAGTCATCACATAACGGCATTGTAATAAACGGTTCGGCTGCATTAAATATTTCACATCTGTCGTAGTTCTCTATTTATAGAGCCCTGATGAGAAGACCTTTGGATAAACTGGAAGAAATGCCGCCGAAACTGAATACTTGACGTGGATCATAAATATATCAACAATTAAACAACATCTTCAATTTCTCTTCACACAATACGTCTCCTTGCAGTATCAACACTAATTCGGCTGACTTTTATATTTGATCCAATTTGTAGATAGGTTATATTTACACCATAACGGTGCACAGCTGATAGAAAGGGACTTGTAGTTTTTAAAGATATTACTGATTTTCTTTGAATATAAGAATGTAAATACTGAGTTGAGAGAATAGTCAGGGGATTTGGGTGATGGGAGACACATCTATGGAATCACAATTTCAATAGCTTACCATTAAATGACGGATATACCTCAGATATTAATGTGTAGAACTACAATACTGTATGTGAAATAATATAGCAATATCCTGTACAATTATGTGAAAACATGAATAAAACTACACATCTTCAGATGTTATTGTCAGAAGTGTCCTATGATAATAATAGAAGGTTATTATGGCATTGTATGCTGTGTGTTATATGTAACATCTTCATAAAGTATAATTTATTGTGAATTGTAATTTATTGTATAATTTATTGCTAAACTTGACAGTTTTTTAACCCGCACCGCCTAGTGGTTAAAGCATTTTTTTATTGAATATGTTATATTTGATGAAAACATTTAAATATTAAGAGTAGCCTACAGTACATACAAAATAAGGGGAAAGTAGAAGGTAAATGATAGAAATATAGAATAGAAAGTATCAAGAAGATACTGTTGTGATCTCTACAATAAAACAGTTTAGTGGAGGACGTCCAAAGATATTAACAGGAGGATGTGCAAAACAGACAAACTAATAAAGCTTTATTCAAACATTAAAGAATACTTTAAGTTAAGGTCTTCTTTTAAATAAGAAAAAAACGTTGGGGGTATCTACAGATAAATATGAAGTCTGACAAAGTACTTAACGTCCAATATATTGCATAGTTTATGTTGGCACTTGACAATCACCTTCCCTGAATTTGAGTCAGGTGTAACTAAAGTCTGATTTAAGGGTTGTTTATATTTCACATCATTAATCAGAATCTCCAAAGTAACTCAAATAAATGTAGTAGAGTAAAAATACCAGGTTGACCTCTGAATCGTAGTGGAGTAGAACAAAGTAGTACATGCTGCTGTAACAAAAACATTTCCCAACTTGGGATCAATAAAGTATATCTTATCTTAAGATGATCGATGGCTACTGCCATATTTGCAAAATGTACATCTGAACCTTGACAAGTGCATGTTTCAGGCTTATCAATGCACAACAGGAGGGGTCACAGACATAAGACCAGCTATTAAATATAGCTCTTCTGACCTTAGGTGTCATGTGGGTATATTAATGCTGCCCATTATGGACACAAGCAATTTTCACCCATTTATAAATTATAATGTTTTACCCGTTCAATTCCAGTTTTGGAAAGTCTGCCGTGGTTTCATTCCATTTCATAGAGCTGTTGACGCTCAGCGTAACCTTGGCGCACTGCCACTCCAACATCCAATCACAGGGCTTGAGGGCTAATCACGGGGTTTGTAAAGCAAAGCGGATGTTCTAGTCCCAAACGATAGCTGAGGATTATGGGTAGTGTAGTGTCTTCGGCCATCCCAAAAAACTCCCAAAAAACGATTTGTTTCTCCGAATCGAAGGTTAAAAACACAAACCCAGCTAGCGGGGAACGTTCTCACAACTTTGGCTAACGTTACCTACAGGTTCTGATAATGTTTTAAAGAAACGTTTTAATCTGATGTTCAAAGAACCTTTTTAGGATGTTTATTATTTCAAATAATGTTCCTATAAGATGACAGAACGTTTTTTTATAAAACGTTCCTTTAATGTGATATGTTAACAAAGGTGGAACGTTTTGCCTGCAACATTCTAAGGATGTGTTTTGGACGTTGTTGGGGTAACACATTAAATAAGTTCTTTATAAAACGTTCCCTCAATGTTACATGATAACAAATGAAGAACATTCTCCAAGCAACATTCTGAAAATGTTTTCAGGATGTTATTGAGGCCTGAGATGACAGCAAGTGTTTTATAAAATGTTCCTTTAATGTGATATGTTAACAAAGGTGGAACGTTTTGCCTGCAACATTTTTTATTGTTGTATTATATGAATGTATGTGTAGTCAATTTTCCTTCAGTGTTTGTGTATTGGTCAAAACAAGGATTTGTAGGTCATACAGCCAATGTAGACAAAATGCAGTGTAGATCACTGAAACCTTACATTTTCAAACTTCTTTGTTGAGCCCAAACAGAAGAGTGTAAACTAACTTGTTTCCATTGTTCATAAGTTACTTTAC